TATTCCGAATGTGCCTGTTGTGCGATGCCTCAAAAGAAGAGTTCTTAAGGCTCTATCTAGTCGAAATCTATCGGCCGGAATTTTCTCGAGCTTGTTTTAGGCTTAGGAGAATGTTTTCCCGCTGTATTCACACGGACTCCCTCAAGTCCGAGGTCGTAGAACATCTTTTTGAGCATTAGTGTAGAACGGATTCTTGCACTCACGAAATGCTATTCCCAGTTTGTTAACGATTAGCATGACACGGCATATTTATCTCGTGAAGCAATAATATCAGATAACGAGTTTGCTCATAGGGCGAACAAATGCAAATACTGAGTCTATCTACAACCTCAGCTGACTGACCTGCTATCAAAGGGCAAACAATCCAGCCAAGAGCAGCTTAGACTTCTTTCTAAAACTCTGTGAACATTGGAGTGTTTATGGTGCAACGAAGCTTGAAACGTACAGGCAATTTAAGCTTTTACTTTTATTTTTAAATTTGTTAGATGACAATAGATAATAGCTCTCTAGTTGAACGAAAACCACACGCGGCTGGGCCATTTTGTTTGTTCGATTGATTATTAAAAGTAGACGAAGAAATAAGCTCGCAGCAAATTAGCAGCTTTGACCTCTGTGGTAAGGATGTATCCGTGATTACATTCCGATCAATTTTGTCTTATGTTCTCTCTGGTTCCCAATATCAAATAACGGTTCGTGGGTCCTCTCGCCGATGAAACGAGGCCACGCCAATTAAAATGCTTACTGGATTTTGCTTGTGAACTATTTATAGATCAATGTATTTTTATCCATATCGACGGCGGCAGACCATATAACATCTGATTAGTGTGTCGGGGCCCACTAGGTGTCCATCGGATAGTTGTTTGTGGCCGTGGAACCGGATCTTTATTTTCTCCTGAAGTAGAAGTTTGACGATATCGTATTTGCCTAGTTTAGTTCTCTTTTTAATTCATCTATTGATCTAGTACATCAATTTAAGCAAGTTATTCCTTAATACATATTCCGATCTTATCGTAACACACTTGTAGGAAATTATATTCATATTGAGCACCGGCGAGAAGTGGCTTGGCATCTTGAAGAGTAGGATAAAGCGTCACGAAAAGGCCAATGACGATAGCTCTTACCTTTTTCGAAGCCCGATGTTTTTAGATGCACTCGGCTTCCATCTGCTGTAGTATTAATAAAGATAGATGCAGTTATCTACTTGTGCATACTTCACCTTGCCATCGAACAGAACAATACAGGATGTCGCATCCGAATCATCCTACAATCTAGCATATCTAGCCGCTTATGCTATATCTTGCTGGACTCCTATGGTCGATTAGGGGTTTAGATGACCTTCTGCGGTCCGCCGTGAGTCCGACTTTCGTTGGTTACTATTCATTGGGTCGCAGCGGACGTCCAACTGGGGCGGCAGGCGGGAAAGAGAGAGAAATTATGGCACTTTGGTTACCCTTCATTTGTGGAATGCAGTAACGCGATACGGCGGGTACCAGCCCATTGAATCAAATAAGCCTAATTGCTGATATACTGATAAATTTTGCTGATAAATATCTTTCGGTTTTTAATAATAGGTGAGGCTCTAGGTAGAAAGTAAGTGGAGTTTCTTTTATTTTTTCATATCTGAGTCAACTAATGGGTAGGGAAGCCCTTGTACGTGGCTAGAGTTAGGACGATTCCACTGTTATACGTGTATTGGGTGGAAAAAATGATTGAGTGACCAGTTGGATATGGAGCTGAAGCTCAAGACACGTTCAGTGGCTGACATGTAGTCGCAGCGCGATTAAACCGGCACTATTGTCACACCGGCGCAAAAATGTCATCAAGTTCGTTCAGATTACGGATGAGGCTAGCCTCATGAGTAATAAATTAATCTGTAAGATTAAATATTGATTAGCGCATAGCGACAAGCATTAATGAAGTCGCTAACAGTTTACTCACTCGTATATATGATAGCGCTGAAGGTTTAACCTTTAACGTAGAGTTTTACGAGAACGATTAATGATTTAGCACGGACACAGCAAGGCATTATCAAAGGACGGCCGTTGAGGGACGTTAAAATAACCATAAAGGTAACGGCGAAGCCTCTTTAGATCGAATTATCGGATTCTTAGAAGGCTTGATGATGCTTCAAGACGTGGCTGTCAACTGCATACTAGACAGACACGATGACGTTGAGGCCCCGATTTTTGTCACCTTCGCGAAGATTCCCACACTGCTACAAGTCCAAAGGACAGATGCCGAACAATTCCACGAATTATCGGATACATCGCTTGCTAAGGATGGGTAAGCATACATATAGCTTTGTCACACACCCAACATTATTTGCTTATACGCTTGCCTGAATTCGCTGATGACCTACCTTTTCTATGTTCTAGATCGTGAAAAAGAGCCCGAATATCTCTATCCTAAGTCGCAATGAAACAAAGCGCGCCTAATTTTTTTGCGATATTTCCTAAACGTTTTCGATAATCGTGTGATTTCGATTGGAATACTTTAGCCCAAAGCACAAGGCCGCTATTTCAAATAAGTGTTTTAAAAGTTTTAGATAAACAATACACAGCCTCTATTGGCGAACGTCTACGCAGTATTGTCAATGTAGCTATTGGAAACTTCACATAGATCTGTGAAACGTCGTGGATTAACGCAACTAGACAGAAATGTTACAATCTATGTCCCTTCGGACGAACATCTTTTGCTCGACCAAACACTTTTTGACTACCTGTAGAGTTAAAATCTTTCGCACACTCGACGAACTAAGCTCGACGCTTCAGAAAATTTGTGACGCGTGATCGACTAGCCAGCAGCCTATACACTAATGCGGTAGGCCACGAGTAATTCATCTATAGGTTCGGAGGCGGATTTACTAAATATCCCTCAGAGATTGTTTTATCGTCTATAGCATCATAGGCAATGCGCCCCTCTTTTCATCAATCGCGTTATTATAATAATTAAGACGAAATAGCATGGCAGCGCGAAAGCACGACCCGAGCCGAATGACGCCTTCGAGTCTGAAGCGCTTTTAGGATCTAAAAGAAATGAGTGTTTGGTTGACAACAAAGCGGACAATATCAGGTCAGAATCATCGTTTAGCCCAGCGCTAGCTAAATAGGCACAGCCCAAAGCGAGCTTTCCGCGACAATAAAAAGATTGGAAAAAACGCCACATATTAGCGAGTTATTAATATTGTACACCGAGCAAAAGTACAATTCGCGTCGTTCCTGTGGTTCCATTACGTGCACCGGCCACGCCAAGGGTAGTTTGCATTTACGGCACTCTTACGGGATTAGTATATGCCTTGCGACTCATCATGAACTTTCGCCGTCGCAATATGTTATTCTCGGCCGGCATCTTGCAAGCAAACTTGTAGTGAAGGCAGTTACACTTAGAACAACGCAACCTTCTTGTTTTTCCTCTGGTGTATGGACGAGAAAGCGACGAAAAAGAGAAAGCGGGTGTACTGTTTAAGACGGCCAGTTGAATGTGATAACGGTGGCCCGTAAGAATGCCGACTTCTACTTTACTAGCCTAACAAAGCGTATATGGTCACTATCATATGTGGACGATCTATTATCGGCTTTTTTTTTTTTAACATTTGCGTCAGTGCTGCAATATGGGTCTAACAAAAAAGATCGTAAACATGTCGGAGAAGGCAAGCATAATGCCCGACAATTTTAAAATAAGCAATCTTATTTGTCAAAACTCTGGTGGTGAAAAGGTGTCTATTCAAACGATCGCACTTAGCAGAGCGATGTCTCTCTAGCGTGGGCCAGTCCGTATAGAACTCGCCTTCAACAGGTAGATTGTTTCATAGAAGTTCTACTGCAACCATAAGGCACAATGAAGGTTCAGTGTGGCATAGAATCAAGATCATCGTTAGCACATCATCAATGATGATGTGCTAACGTTCTAAACGTAGATTTTTGTAAAACCAGTTGCGCCAATGATGGATGCATAAGCGATACGATTCGAAAGGTTTGCTATCCCTGTTCGTGACGTAGGTTAAGTTGAAGTAAGTTTAGGCAAACTGTCTCGCCGGCGCATTTCTCTGCTTTTGCCGTGCTGAAATGTTTACGTATTCGAGAGACCGCAATAGTGCAAGCTTAACTGCATATGCGAGGTGTACAACAAAATAGTTTGTCAAGTTGCAGCCAAGGCTACAGCTGGAGTTTATAACGATAAATGAAATAGCGTTACTAAGTGCAACGTGGACAAGTCAACCGGCTTGCAAAATGTAGCACAGTGTTCCAAACAATTCTAGAGTGATGCCCAGGTGGTTTTCTGAAAACGTACTATATGCTTAGTTGATGGAGTCATTGCCCGATTCGCTACACCAGCTTTATGGTCAAGTTTGAACTTGAGCTCCTCGCAAAGCCGTACGCGTTTACAAGAAAGGCCTAGGCTAACTTGTTCCGCTGCTAAAGATCAGTGACCCATTCATGCGTATACGCCCATCAAAATAAGTTAGCCAGCCCGTAGATCACTGCTTGAACTACAATGTGTATACCGAAAATCAAAAAAAAAAAAACACTCCCGCACATACGAAAAAGTGTGAGGGTGCTTTAGAGGAATGGCTTGTTACTCACTGGCGACAGATGTTTCCAAGCGTATCGTCATAGAACAGCAAAAGCGCCAACTGATTCGTGCATTGTATGCAACGCTGCCGAATGAAAATGTGACTCACACGACCAAGAGACAGCGGACGTTAAGAAAAAACTAGGGCGCATATTTAGGACTAACGCCGTGCTGAACTGGATGCTTCAAATGAAGACAGTTGAACAGCAATTTTTGAGTACGTGACGAACATTATAGAGCGCTGAATGAAAAAGAGGGTTTCCTTTGTGGTTAACTTAAGTATCGGCGCATGGCCAGAGACAGAGCAAGTTGTAAATTTGGTAGGTACTGCAGTTTGTAAACATTGGCTAAGGTTCACATTATAGTGGCAAATATCTAGAAGTGAGGCCCAGGGTTCGTAAAATAATTTATACGTTTGTTCCTTACAGGAATTATTCAGTTGGATAGCGGTGGGTAATCGTTGCAAGGACTGCTCAGGAATACGGTCAGATTTGCGAAACCTAGGTCGACTTTTAATGACGTTCAGGCCGTGCAAAGTTACAGATCTCTCCGACATTGGCCTGTTGGTGGTAATGAGAGCTAGTCTAGACTATGGGTCACCCTACTCATTTCGATCGATGCACCTATAAGTCAAAAATTTAACCACGGACTCGAGTAGCTGTTTGTCGCGGCATATAGCCAACCCAAATGCATCATCTCCTGTAACATCCCCTATATTTAAGATAGCAGAAATACGCTTCGTTGAGCTCCATCGAGAAAAAAAAATCTTCATTTAACAAGGATACTGCACCATATTGTCTTAACCGCACAGAAACGTTCATTCACAGAAAAGGCCGCTCAGTATTCCTCACAACACCGTATATAGTAGTCGTCCAGTAGCCGCGTGCCTGACTAGCAAACTCAGCTGGTCAGGCTACATATAGCAGCAACCAGTAGGTCCAAGAGCGTTTAAGTGGTTAGGTATTAATAAGATTAGTTCCTGTATCTGGAGCTATATTTTTTCAATAATTACCAACAGTTATTGATCGCCTTAACGAAAAGATCTATTCGGGTAGTTTGGGTTCTTTGATTTGTGCTGGTAGATAGCAATGGAACACACAGAAACTTTGGGAACTCATGGGTGAGAATTCCTAAAATTTATGAAAGTTGTTTAATTTTGTAAATCGAACTTGTGAGCCGAACATAAAGTAAAGCAGCAAAGTAGGCATAACACTTTGACCACAGTTCGAAGCCCATCTTTATGTAGCGTTTATCATCACTTAAATGGCCACCACAGTTTAGACTTGGGTTTCTTTCATCAATCAGTTGCTGTACTGGAGTCAGCCATAACATAATTATGATTATTTTGCTCAAGTAGCCCTACAAGCAAAGATATCACTTTTCCAATCAAAAATAAAAAGAGCAGCTTCTGTTGGCAAATGTAATTTTCTTACGTATTATACCTCCATGCTCGATAGATTGATATTCGTAATAGTTATAATGGTGAAATTTAGCTAATAGCTTGTAACATTCCTACACGACCACCAAAAAATATGCAACCTGTTTAAACTCTTGGAATTTACACAGTCGTGCTTAAATACCTTGAAGGGACTCATTCATTTTGCGTGTGAGCTTTACATATACAGTCATTTAGATCTTATAACTGGCGTTTTCTCTGTCTCTCATATTGAACAAAAAACTACGTTGGAAGTAAGGCACCATACACAGTTTAATTACTATGTCTTTGAAAAGTGCTAGGTTTTATTAAATTTGATATCGAAACTTTCTTTATTTCACAGAAAGCGGTAAATATGTGTAAGAGTTGCTCATAAAAAATTCAGATAATAAGCTAGCAATGAGAAAGAAAGCGAAATCTGTTTTGTCTCTTTGAACTTGTCTACGATTTGTTAACAACCTGGTTGTTTGGAGTGTACAGGAGAGACCGTTTTTTTTCCACATTTACAAATCAATCGGCGCCCGATAATGAACTCGCCTGATCTATTCGCCACTCCAGATAATAACGTACAGAGGAGAGTCGACGGACCACTGCAATTGACATCCTTCAAGGCGGATTCGTATAAAAAGAGCAAACGTTTCTGTCAGGGCTGCGGCAGCATTCAGGTATATCTGATACATGAAATTGATAATACTAAAAGGCTGATGTAGAAGATCGGAAGCTGATTCTTTTTATTTCGCAGTTAGACACCATTTCAACAAAATGCGGCGTTCAGGAAGAAAGCGTGAGGAAACCCCTCTGTTAAAAAAACGTGAGTTTCAGTTAGAGGAGGTTTGTGCTTTGCTAAAAGGGGCAGTCTTTCTTGACCAAAGCATACTGTATCGTTCTTCGCATGATATGAAACTGAATTTTGATCTTAACCAGTTATCCATCCTGTTTCGCCTGGACGATATACACCCTGTGAAGTTAAATCATTGGATTGTTAAATGTTTTGCTAGAGAAAAGTGATTAATACTTAATTAAACATAGACTAAATTGAGAAAATTTTTTCAAAAGGCAAATCTTATCAGATAGCTACGAAATAAGAAAATAAAAAAAATTTACTTTCACAGTAATGTTTGACTTCATAATACGACAATCATAATGGATCCTGGAAAAAGTATACACTGTTTTTCTAGCTAGGTGTCGCATAGTCCGTGTATATCGGATTTATGAGTCGCGTTAATATGCACTATTGTTGGTATCATTTGAAAGCTCAGATTTATATCCATGGTCATGTTCATGTGTTATCAAGACATGGCTTAATGCTGCTTCTGTCGTTTTCGTGCAAGGAATTTCGATGCGAAAGATGCTCCTCGCAGTGGTTGATCAAATAGGAAAAAAGTCATTGCATGATGGGTAACTAAACATTAATAAAAACTAAAGCAACTAAGCTCTTACCACAGAAAATGCTCGTGCAACACGAATTGACGCAAAACAATTTACTTGACCGCATTTTCGTCTGCGAAACTCCACAGAAATATAACGAAGTCGAGCTATTTATGAAGTGATTGGTCACGAGTGGTAGAAAATTAATCGCACGCGACAGTGATGTGTGAGAAAGTCGCAGCCTGTGGCAAAGCCCGGATTAACACCAAAAAAGGTGATGCTAGACGTTCGATGGTATTGAAAAGGGACTGTGCATTATGGGCGCTATTGTCGCCTGCTAAAACGACTGATTCGAAGCTCTACTTTCAACAGGTACAGACAATACGCCATTGAAAAAGTCGACCGGAGTTAGTTAATAAAGGAAGCATCGTCTGCCACCATGAAAATGCCAGGCCAGATACATCTTTAGCTATCCTGTAAAAATTGGGATTGGATAATAAATTTTAACACATTTTTGTAGCCCAGGTTTTGTACAATCAAATTGTCATCTGTTTTGGTCTCTGCGGAACTCCTGTGATGGTATCGATTTGGCTTTATTGTAAGAATGCAAAAATCACCACAATCCTTCACCTAGAAGCTACAAAAGTTCTATAGAGTTGATACTGTAATGTTAATAGAAAAACGGCAGAAAATCATCAGTCACAGTAGCGTATCCTCAATTTAGTAATATTTTTTCGAGATAAAAATATCTTCAAGCCAACAGTAAAGTAATGGTGTACCCTTTACGATGTAAACCTTCAGCAAGTCAGCCTAAGGAAATGCTTTACATTGAAAAATACGGATACTTTATCTCCTTAGTGATCTTTAAAATTCACCATTTCCGCTGCAATATAGAGCGCTACTACTGATCGTTCAGCAAGTTCGTTAACAACTTGAGCCCTGACCCTCGTTTTAATATCTGTTTCAACATCTACAACTTTATAGCTCACCCTGTGTCCACTGTCACCTTTCGGTACTTGCATCGCCGTTACATGGCGTTATATAACAGCTATTTCTCCTAAATGCTAATAAAATTTAACAAAAGGCAATTCGTTCTGGAATCGTTGCGTCGTATGTGATCTAGGGGTATACATGGACGTAAAGCATCTTAAATAATTTAGCGACTAGGTAAAGTATTGCTAGTTTTGATGTATACTAGTTATATTTATCAAATGTTTTATGGCCAGGAAACTTAAAAAGGAACATCTCACATACAATAGCTCCATTAATCTGAATCATTCATGATATGGATTTATCTCGTTGTGATTTTATTACGCGTTTTCTTACCTTCTAAGTCTTGGCTAGCTTTAGAAGGAAGCTTCGAAAGCTCATAAAAATAAATTTTTGCAAAATATATTTCTATTTTAAACAATCAAATAATATAAGCGCAGAGACACGTACAATCTGACTGAAACTACAAGGGGCTACTATCTTGAACCTTACGATAAAATTCATGCCTACATAACTAAGTGTAATATGCAAAATGTAGTGAACATGATCTGAAGACACTCGTATGAATAATTGAACAGTGTAATAATATGTTTGTGGTGCCTGCCGCTTGGCAGACGCGCTCTGCTCCGCTCTAGAACGATCAATAAAGATGTCGCTTATTTATTGTGTAATGGGTCTATGTTACGAGAGTTTTTGGTTGCTCTTCACTCACTTCATGGGTCTTGCTTTTACAAAAGGCTTTATCAAAATACAATACGCAGTAGAGCACAGAAGAAATAAAAAGGGTTTGAGTGGCGAAATGGTACACGGCGGCTATACTGTATAAGCCGCAAGTAATTCTTTTTGCATTTTGGGGGTAACAATTTATTTTGCATTATTGTTTAGATCTAAACCGGAAGAATAACACTAAAACAATATCAATATGTTCCAGAAATGTAATTTTTCGAAACTTGCAATGAAATTTTGAACCTTCTGTATATGTTACCCGCATCAATATCTTTCTCATGTAATAAGTGAGACATCGGTTTCTTAAGCGCGTGCCACTTAAAGTACTCAATTCATTATTTCAGGCTAAGGCCTTTTGTAAATCTTTGACAGGCATTTTAATTTTTCACCATATCGCGCTTACGATAAGTTGCCTTAGCCGACCTGCCAACAACAGTATCCTTTTTCGTTTTACAATTTGCCTGTAGTCGTGATACAGTCTTGGACCATTATTTAAAATTTCTGTACAAGAGTTTGTTAGCATTTATCTCTTTATGTTTCGAGTTTTACATCTGGTGTCGTATCGCCGTTTCCATCAGACGGCTCTCTCCCAGCACGAAACAAGCGAGAAAGGGTCTCTTTCTCATTGCTGCTTGCTGCCGGGTTTCGGAGAGTCTCCATGTTCTTCACTAATTGATATATTTGTCGTCTCAATCGTTACATAACAGCCCGATCCTATCTGTTTATTTTAAATTAAAAACTTTCTTCTTAATATTCTTTGTTTGACATCTTGTCGTTTTAAATTCCACATTGCAAACGACCTTCACGGTTCTGTGCCTTGAATTTTCTCCCCTGTCTCTTTAATACCCTCGTCGCAGTACTTTTTTTAATTTTACCTTTCTAGAGTTAATCACCTATCTTTAGTCTCTGTTCAACCAACTACGTGAACGCCATCTTGTAATATCGTCAACATGTTTTTACACGACCGTTTTCCCCGAATGTTTTGCTTTCAAGTTTGAACACGAAAAGTTGTAAACGGATTTACGTGTTCAAAACAATGGAACAAGCGGTGTTGTGAGACTTCATTGCCATTTTACTCCTTTATCAGCTAAGCCCAATCAAATAACAGTCAACCCACATGTGCAGGCGAATATATCTGAAGATTGACTACTAGCTCACCTATATTATCATATCTATATGCAAGGGAAAGCCATAAACAATTTAAAAGATGGATGTAATAATAAGCCACATTCGACAGGTCAAGAATGGAGGTAAAATGCTTTGCAAAATAGTGAGAATGAGTTTACACTACCATAATATCTTTATAATGCGCATCGCTCTCACTTAATTACAGCAAGAAAAACTACAATTTTAGTAAATGTTTTTCCCCTAAATTTAGGCACTATAATTAAAGGGAAAACAAATTAAGGCACACTAAGGTCGGTGCCACCGAAGTTTAAAATGTAGACAATGCTATCCGGCTTCAGCCGTTAAAATGCAATATTGCTAGTAGCCACAGATTATTGTTGTTATTTTTTTGAACAACTGAAGAGTCCGATCTTTTAATAAGCTCAGAACAATTAATAAAGTTACTCTCCATTGTATGTTTCTACTTTACCATCCAGCCAAATTTCACTTACAGAAAAAGCATTTGCTTTTGTATTGAAGACTTAATATTTTGCTGCCCACTCTATGGCGACATGCCTGTATGGACACGCGCTGAGAGAATTTCCTGTGTATGAAATTGCCTACAAAACGAAATTTAAAAAAAGGACAGATATGCGGGGGCAGCATTTGTGATGTTGATTATCATAACATTAGGGATGCGTTACTTTCGGCGGATGACAGTCTCCTGTGCGGCGGTAAAATTTGAATTTGAGAATTGGATTCGACGCAAGGTAAACTGTTTTCCGTGGGCTGTTTAGCTAGTAAGATTTACAGTATTAGTTTACGAGAAGGCTATGTCTTTTCTGGGCAAGCCTGCAGTAGTCGTCAATGCTGCGGATACGAATTCGAATGTCCAGAAAAGTTACGAACGATCACTTTCTACCTCTGAGATGGCTGCCAAGCGAAGCTGCTTTCTGGCGCCATATACACATATACATACTCAAAGACGTATAAACGCATGAAACCTCCGAACTGTGCTAAGCGATCAGTTTGACTTAAGCTTGAACGTCGCCGTTTTCAGATGTAATATGCTCACGTGTGTATACAATGTATGTACATTCCTATCCAACAACAAAGCATTATTGGATGACATTACAAACAACAGAATTTGCATCATACTATAAAATGTTACAGTATTATTTATTCAATCCAATAAGATGAAAGACAGCTAAATCTAACCCCGCGTATTTCTAATAGTACCAGATATTTAGTGTGTACATTATATCTCGTTTATACCTTTAACCCTTCGCTAATGGTGCTTTGCCCAATGGAGCAGGTTTCTTGTAATTTATATCATGTATGGTAGCATAAAACGTATAAAACATATTCTAAGATAATTATGATTAAATGCATAATAAAGGGACTACTTTTTACTTATGCATTTACTCCGTAAACCAGGTACTGTGTGTTAAACTACCGATACGCATACGCCAACGAGCTCATAGTCAAAAGATGCGGTATCGATAGGCCAAGTGAATAAAATTTGCATCGTTCTTAACTTCGTAGACTAGAAGTTTTGAAATCACCCGTTTGTACTACTGATGGTAATATATTAATCTTAGATATTTGGTGAATTTACTA